CCAAGGGCAGCGGTCACTGCAGTGAGGTGGAGAATGACCAAGGGCAGCGGTCACTGCAGTGAGGTGGAGAATGGCCAAGGGCAGCGGTCACTGCAGTGAGGTGGAGAGTGACCAAGGGCAGCGGTCACTGCAGTGAGGTGAAGAGTGACCAAGGGCAGTGGTCACTGCAGTGAGGTGAAGAGTGACCAAGGGCAGTGGTCACTGCAGTGAGGTGGAGAGTGACCAAGGGCAGCGGTCACTGCAGTGAGGTGGAGAATGGCCAAGGGCAGCGGTCACTGCAGTGAGGTGAGGAATGACCAAGGGCAGCGGTCACTGCAGTGAGGTGAGGAATGACCAAGGGCACTCACTATATGCACACAAGCAGGGAGTCATATCCAAGCTTGTCCTCATCCGTGTTCAACTGGTTATGCACACACGTCTCTTTGCCTTGGCAAGTGTCCTGCATCCAATGACAACAGGGTTTCTAATGGTTATATGGTTATACCGAAAAGCTCTTCCTCTCACACGAAGTTCCGGGCGGGAGGAGACAAAACCAAGTGGTGTTGTTTTCTAAACGCTGGTCAAATACAAGGCAGCCTTTCCCAGTGTCTGCGGGCCTGTTATTTTGGTGTGGCGTGGCTTACTGTATCCATAGTGATTCTTTGTAATAAGAATGTTGGGGGAAGCCTGCTAAAAGCTGGTCTACCCGACAGTTTGCCATGCAGGGAAGCCTGGCTTTGAGTGCTTGTGAGGAAGAGTAACAACCCAGTTGTATGCTTACTGGGACACTTTGGAACTCATCAATGCACATTCAGGACTCCATCCCTGAGGCTGCTGGCTCATCCATCCAGTGTGGCAGTCAGGCCACTTGTGACTTGAATGAAACCAGTAACAGTCCTGAATACCCCATGAGCAGCAAGTGCTGAGTCAGATCTGATGAAATAAATTGTGTTTTCTCAGAGGCCCAAGGACACAGGTCACTGGCTGTTTCTCACCATCCAGAGCTAGAAACCTGTTTGTCCCAGGGCACAGTGTCAAAGGCAGGGAGAGCATTCCTGCCTTCCTACAGAGACCCTTTTCTCCAGGGTGAGAATAGCTTCCAGTTTCCCTGACAGGCCTGGGAAGAGGAAGAGAATATGCCTCCATCAGCGCTCTGCCTCTCATCAGGGGAGACAAGTCTGCTCCCGGTACAAGCAGGACGTGGAACTTGAATATAGTGAGCAGAACCTGCCTGTCCTGAGGGACAACGTTGTGGCTTAC